CCATACTTGTAAGTTCTCCAGCTGACAACACAATAAGGAATCCGAAAATGAACTCTGATTTTTCTCCAGGACTCTACAGTTCCCTGCATAGAAATGGGTCAATTAGGGATCAACAGGCCTTCTAAAGCACAGTGTAATGGATTGGAAAAAGTCTAGGGTAGAAGTCAATTAATCTAGAATTTTTCTTTTCTAATCTCTTCCACTTGGTATAATATTATGAGTGTAGCCGTTGCAGTCAGATAGGCATTCCTGATTGTACTGCATTGGACAAGTTATGTGGCCACTCTAAACCTCAGATTCACCATTTGTAAAATAGAATTCTGTAGACATGTGGAAATATCTCTCTACAATTACTTTCCCTAGGCAGTGGCATGGTTAGTTGGACAGCTCTCCACTGATAGTCCAAGAAGACTTCAATTGATACATCCTTGAAGTAACTGGCACAGTACAGGAATTTCATAGTTAACATGTCTAAAGCTTCATCAAATGAAACCTTTTGGAGATCTTGGCAAGTTTTTGCTTAAGCTAGGAATTTCCTGATCCCACAGAGATAACTGGCAAAGGCAGAGATATCAGCTCACACTTAAAAAAAAAAAAAAAAGGTGGCTTGACATTATAAAGTCACCTGGGAAAATGCTAATACACGATAAAGTTAATTTGCTCAAGGTGGGTAATTGTTGTCAATACAGATTGGTAAACTTATTGGATTTTTAAAAATAATTTAAGTAGGAGACTTTCAGCTCCTCCATTGGAATATTCGATTTGTTCTTCAGGATTAAAAAGGTAGCTATGTCCTAATGTTCATTCAATTTTAGGATAACCACAAGGTTTCATGAATGTGAAATGCTAGTTACACAAATATGAAATGGTTCTGTGATGAGGATACTGGGTAAATGACAGTCCCAAAGGCATTTCACCTGGGACCTTAGCTTTCCTTCTAGAACATCAGCAAACAGTTCAAAATTAATGTAGCACACCATGCAATTTGCCATATTGCTACTGTAGTCTGATAATTTTTTCCTCATTACATAAAATCTAATTAGTTAAAGGGCAATTCAAATGAAACTTTTATTTGGGGGATTTAGAAGTATTAAAGCAAAGGGAAAAAAAACCCAAACAAACACTGCAGCTCTCTGTATAACATGAATGCGATTATTAATAACCCTTGGGTGGGAAAATGATTAACCTTGTTATTTTCTTCACGATCCAGGTTTCTACAATAAATCAGTACTGCACAAAAATATTTGGATGCTGTATGGAAAACAACTTTCACGAGGTCTCCAACTGGCATAAAATGTTTTCAAGTATGAAAACATCTCTGGGCTTCCTCAACCGGCTGATAGATCCCTGTAGGTAGCACTTCCCTTGTTTAATGGTCTTGCCAATTAAATCAAATTAGAGATGAATTTTTAACTCTGTGATGAAGGCAATGTTTATTATAAGATAAAACAGGACAATTAGCTATTTCCCTTAAGTGAACTGTTGTTTTAAATTGAATAAGTTAGGGGTGGGGGATAGGAAAGGAATAGCCAAACACCTTCCTCAGTATTCTATGCTTCATATAACATCATGCCAGTCATTTAAAAGTAATTTAAGGAAATAATCTAGAGTCAGGTTCACAAAATGTTTACATCTCTCTTTTCTTTTGTTTGCATTATTAAAAAAAATTCTATTTATTTCAAAACTCCAAGAGTTTGAAATGGTCTTCCTTGATGTGATCTTCGTTTTGTGGATGGTTTAACTTTAACCTCTGACTTAACTGTCATTCGCTTTTGTAAGAAGTGATAATCACCCACACAAATGTATTTGCACATTAGGCCAATTCTTGCGGGTCTAATTATGCCCTTTATAATATAACGTTTAACACAATTTGTCTAATCATTTGCTTTTCAGGACCAAAGATCAGATGATATATGTTAGAAGGTAATGATCAATTCCTGACTTGAATAAAAACACCCACACCAAGCCAACTATTACTTTGGATTATCAGTAGCAACAAATGTTCACTTGGATAAAATCATGAATTTTACTTACACGTGCATAATACACTTTATTAAAAAATGCAATCTGAAGAAATTCCTACCACATCAGGTAAAGTGAAAACATAGATCATAAGGCTCAAAGGCTACAGATTTATTTTGGGATTCATTAATTGCTGACAATATCACCAGTATTTTTTCAGCCATGGCCAAAGCAGATCAGAATGACTGAGTTCTAAGTCAAGTATCCTTAGGATTATTGGGAAACCTATTTGTTAATAGATAGACAACAGCAGGTACAAATGATCTTAATGGGAAATTTGTTTCAAAAACATTTTTAGCAGATGATCGGAAAGGATGACCACTCTGTCCATGCATTTGAACCTTAATATAGGCGTTGGCATTTTGAGATCCCTATTGAAATTTATTAGGGCTTCAAAACCTTTAATCACTGTGTATACAGAATATGTATGTAAGCCGATGGTTATATATGTCAATAATCTACATCGATAATATACATCATTTATTTTCCTTGAGATACGCTGTGATAATCGGGGTCTCATGGATGTTACATCTGTTATAATGGTATCTTTCTATATAGTTAGTGGAATTGTAGTCATTGATTCCTTCTTTGGGGTAATGCCAAAAGCTCTGGCAAACACCTATAACTTAGCTACATATCCAAACAGCTTCCTTTTCTCTGGCTTGCACCTTGAAAACCCCATTCCTGTGCCCTCTGGAACAGGCAGTGTCATCTGCGTGTGAATTCTTGCCCTTTGGAGAGGAAAGGAATCCACGAGTGCACACAACAAGCACCTTATAAGCCCACAAAGAAGGAACTTTCGAATGCCATTAAAGCAGCCTAGAAGATACAATCACGTTTGATGGTTTTACTGTAACTCTCTTCACCTTAAAAGCCAGGCAACAGGTAAGCTAGTCATGTGTGATGCTGAGTGACCTCTGGAAGATCTTACATCTTGCTTGCTGGAAATCTGAGAAAATACCCATTGCATTCTAAGCAGAACAGCCAGAAGCATATTGAAGGGAGGGTCCAAAATATCACTTTTAGTCAGAGGGTTTTTATTAGGAGTAAATTTTCCTAGGTTCTTGATAATAAAGGCTAATATATTTTTTCAAAGGCACAACGAAGCATCCTTTCAGGTCACCACTGATTTCAAAATAAAACAAAACAGAAATTTCTGATTCGGTGTGTAAAAGGTCAACATCTGCTGATGCTCAGAGATGGGGGATGTGGTGGAGGCGGCCGAATGGGATGTCGAGTGAGCAGTACAGTTAGAGGGGCCATGCAACATACAACTGACACTCCAAACAGGAAGACACCCCAACGCCAAAGAACTACTTTTCCATCTATCCATTTCTGAAACTTCTGACAGGCCAGATCACTATAGCAGCCTCAATAATCTGTGTCAGCTTGCTTCTGCTTGCTTCCCTGTTGCACTAAAATGCACGTGCAAATGCAATTGTCAAGGCCTGAAAGGAGCACATTGTGGGGTATATATACAGTTAGGCAAATGCCAAGGGGGATACTAAAGCAGAGAAATTAGACTATTAGAACTGAAGGTTTTCATTTGCAAGTTTGTAACACTGATGCTGTTTCAACAAGATCACAAAGAGGATGCTGTAACATTAGGCTGGTATCTCTAAATGGATGTGAACACTGCTTCTATTTACAAAGTGGCCAATTTTCATGACATTTACCACATCTAGTGCTTAACAAATCAGTGTCCAGGCCTATTCACAAGCTCAAGTAAACTGGGTTGATTTATAAATTGGGAGACCTGACTGTGCATTTATAAGAAGCAGGAAGTTGCTTTATCCAAATTATCAGAGTATTGCTTTTTAGATGGATGCTGGGAATCGCAATTATTCAATGGCTATTTACACTGCGATCACCCTGCCTGGCACAGCACCTACGACACAAGCCTGTGAGGGGGTGACACTACAGTGAAAATTCTCTCCGCTTACCATGCATAATCTTGCTTCCTCAGTAATTTATTTCTAATCAGTTACTTAGTAGTTGCTCAAAGATTTCAGCCATTAGAGATAAAGGGTGCAATATATAAAAATATGTAAAAAATTTGCTCTGTAAAGCTACTGGGCATTTTCTTAATGCGAATTTCAGGCTTGGCATGAGGGCACCATTATTTTACATATGAAGCGGGAGCTACACCTGGTTCTCCCATGATAGCTGGAAGAAAGTTCTTTGTAGTGATACTGGAGAAGTGTTCTATAGATGGTTGAAGAGGGGTTTATCTTCAATTGCTTAGATTCATACTAACAGATTTATGAAAGGAATCTGTAGTACTCTCACTCCCAAATTCTGCACATATTTTTTTATACTCTTTCTATATCAAACTCAAAGCTAAGTAGTCAAGAAGACATAGATCTTTGTATTTTAGGAGGGAGAAATGAATGTGCAGATTCTCTTTTTCCTTTATCTCTCTCTATAAAGACTACTGATCACAAACTTGCCTGTTTCAGGCCTTCACAAAACCTAGAGTTTAATGCTTTAACAAAATTCCCTCCCCTTGGTTTCATGGACTTTTTCTTGGGTTCTGATGCACATACCTGAGGCATTCATTGGCTTTTATTTTCTGCTTTTTAAAATTATGTTAGACATCCAAATCCAGTCTAAGAGAGAAAGAGTTCAATTTGTTTGTTGGTTATTAAGTATGGAGAAATAGGACTACTTATATTTTTGCTAAATGATGATGATCATTTAAGTAATTGCACCTGAGTCTAGGTAGCCCTCATTGGTTAAGAGTAGTCAGAAAAGCTGTAGCACTGCCATGTTCATGGAGTTATGCACAAATAATCATTTTATCTGTGTTCTCACCATATCTGTGCAGAAAACCAACACAAAAATGCAATTCACAAAGAAAATACCCTATTACATCAGAAATGGACACTGGGAAAATAGATCTGAGGAGCTGAACAACAAAGCAAAGCTAGCCTAGACTTGGTTTGGTGTTTTTTGTTTTTGTTTTTGTTTTTACTTACTACCGATACTGGAAATACTGGGGATACCTGGAGAGAAAGAAAATAATAAAGAAAAGTTGTTAGCTACTTATTAGTACATAACATCTTTAACTTAATATAAAAATCTTAGAAACTTGACACTTGATAACATTCAGACTATTAGGAAATCAGCACACACACAAAATACATGCGTATGTATATATGCATACACACATTATACACACACACACACACACACACACACACACACACAATTCCCAGCAATTGAAACCATTTTGTTTCATTCTAGAACTCCTGGGCTCATCAGAGTTGGGAAGTTAATACTCATTTCAGCATCTGGTCCAAGTAAGCCTTTTGACATCCAACATTTTGTGTTTCCCTATAAGGTTAATGAACATTTGTATGTGGTTCAAACCAGATATTAAACCAGGCTTAAGTTATGGGCACAGAGTACCAAATATACACTCTGTGGACCTGTGCAAATATATTCACATATGCAATAGACCATTTAAAATGTGTTATGAGATGCATGTGTTAGCTGCTGAAAATCATTTGGCATTTTATTTGATTAATTTCATATAACCATCATTTTTATTCTTTTACTTGTCAGATATGTGGATTAAACTCTGTAATAGAAACTTAATTGAGCAGAATAATTCAAGAATACATTAGGTTGTGCATATTGATCACAGACTTCATCGATTTTTCAGCTTTCACTTTAATTCACAAGTTGTGCTAAGGTAGGGAAGCCATTTCAGAATATGGCTGGACTTGGTATAAATGTGGACATTTAGTCTATATATCTAACCCAGCAATATAGTCCTGTGACCAATAGTCTAGGCTCAGAAGCCAGGCTCTCTGAGTCTGACGCTTGACTCCAACTCCTAAATTTTCACTGACCACATGACCTTGGGGCAAGTTGTTTATACCCTCAGTAGCTCAGTTTTTTACCTCTTGGGTTGCTGCAAGAGTTATATAAACTGATAGATGTAAAGCACTCAGAGTATTGCTTGACAGGTAGTATGTACTAGGTCCGTCTTTGCTATGATCACTATTACTGTTATAGCTCATTCACCAAGCAACATTATGATAGATGCTGTTAATTAAAAGCCAGAGATTTACATCTTCACTATTAATTTGGGCAGCTGTGTGGGTGAGAGCATGCGATGGAAATCAGACAGAACTCAGTGAGAATTCTGCTTTACTACTGCCTTGCTGGGTGATTTTAGGCAAGTCTGCTAACTTCTCTGCACTGTTTCCTCATCTGAAAAAGGGCTAATAAGATCTACTGCATAGTGCTGCCATGAGGATCGAATGAGATAATCCATAAAAATGTCTGACACATGGTATGCGGCCAATAAGCGATAGCTGTTAATGAGTTGTTCAGACTGTTCTTCACATCATTGCAGTATAGTAACAGGTGGTGACTGTAAAAATCATTAAGGTTCTATCTTAGTATTTTTCTTTGAACAACAGCCTTTGTTTTATTTTAACTAATCATTTTAGCTTGCTCAGAGATGTCTAGCTTTGTATTCTTTAAAACCAAAAACTATTTTCCTATTTTTTAGTGGGTAGGAGAGAATAAGAAATTAAGACTTACTCTGATTTTTTTAAACCCTGGAAAGAATGAAGTCTTAATTTTAGTTATTAGAAACATAAAAATATCTTGATTTTAAATGCTCAGAATTTGTAGTGCTTCAGCTTAATTAGTGATCAACCAAAACTGGAAATCTAAATTTTCATGTCCGTGTTTTAACTCTACCCTATGAATCTCAAGCTGAATGTGATTTCTGCAAAGGACTGCTGAATTCCCGACCTGACACTTCAGTAGACTACCTTTGCTGCAGTGTGACAGTGACTTGGTACTGAATCTTTATTATTTTTTTCTTTTGCAAATCCTCTGTTGAGTGAGATATGATGGCAGCATCATAATTTTCGTGTCAATTGCAGAAGTTCCAAATTTCCCCATGATTGAAAATCCTGCTCCACTGCAAGGCACTGCTTGCCTGTTGTAATCCATCAAAGAGAATGGAAGTTGGGATGGCAGGAGGAGACTTGTCATGTGTTTACAAACTCACATGGTGCTAGAAGGCCACGCATTATGCAAGGCAGAGATCTCGGGGTGTTTGGCACCCGCAAGACTGTTTGATGCAGTATTTGCTGCAGCTGAATACTTTAGAAAGATGCAGAAATTTTTTCATTCCTTTGGGGATACCAGTGCAGGGGAGCAATGTTTGTTCCAAGTTTCCAAACCTCACCAAGTGAGGGTATTAGGAGATTCTGTTTTTCTCATGAAGATGTTTTCTATTGCCTAACATTGGATGCTTAAAATTCAGGCTGTTCCTCATTTTGTGGCTTACAATTTTTTGAGGTGCTGCCAGATGAGTCATTTTTTCTATTCCTCTGCTGTAAAATGGGAATTGCTTAGAAAAGATTTTTAAACTGCTCATTTGAATAAAGACCTTTGAAGTTGAAAATGTCTGAACACCAAGGGATGTCCACTACTATATTTTAAAATATCATTATTTTTTTCTAATGCTTTGTATTTTAATGTCCAAATACCTTGTTTGTGATTCTCTACAGATAACTAAAGAATTGAATAAACTCATAAATCCACTAAAAAGGCTACAGGTAAGCCAGGAGAATTTCCTCAAACACTCAAGGGAATAAGACAGAAAGGGCTAGAAATGAACTGCAGCAATTTATTTCATGAAAGGTGGGTTGTCTTTGGGGTTTGGGAGGAATGAATCAATGAATGCAGTTCCATCTTACAAGAAACAGTGACTATGTCTACAAGCCACACGAAAGACAGTCAGATTGTGCTTAGGAAAACTGTCTAGGCACCCGTTGGCGGTTTTTACCATTCTCTGTGAAGTGACAATTACCATGTAAAGAATATTATTACCTTTGAAACTGAGCTCAGAAGTTATTTCTTTCCTTCCTCCTCCACATCCCTGATGTGAGTTAGCTACTCTCTCCTTTGTGATCCCATAGCATTTTGTACAGGCCTCCATGATCAATTTATCAACTTGTTTTTGCATTTTTTAATGTGTTTGCCTGACAGATCTGAGGGTACAAGTTCCCTGTCTTGTTCCCTTCTGTACCTGTTGTATCTGCCTGGGACAATGTCTGATGACATAAAAGTTGCTCAATGTATGTTGGATCAAAAATTTATTACTTATTTCCATGAAAATTTTTATCATTTTGAAAACACCACTTTTTGGACAAAGGGTGATTTTATCCCCTATAAAATGTCCCACTGAGATTTCTCAGAGTTCAGGATTAATGGATATTAACTATTAATATTAATAACACATATTGTCTTTGAACCCATCCTCCATTCTTATAACAAGAGTTAGGTAATGTACAAATTCCTTTTGCCACTTTGCCCTCCATGAAGCTCAGAGCTCAGTTTGATGCTCAGCTGGGGAAACTATTTAGCATTTAATGTTTGGCCTATTTTCTTTCTATTCTTTTTCTCGGATCTTCTGTTTAAATTCCATTTTTTGATACTCTTATTTGTATTTGTCTTTTTTCCTAACACACCCAGGGGCAAGTGCAGACTTTGCGGGACCTAAAATGTGTGCAATTCTGTGATCTCTCTTTAAGAAAAAGAACATAACATTAAAATATAAAATTCTCTCTATATATATATAATTAAGAAGGAGTTCAGTGAGGGATCCTGAAGTTTAAGCTTCATTAGCTTAAATCCACCTCTGAAACAACCTCAGAAATACTTGGGAAAGATAAAGAGATGACAGGTAAATTAAAAAGAACAGAAGGAAGAAAAGATACTAGATAAATTAATTCAGAAAGAGTGATAAAAAAATGAAAGCTGAATGGGATTTAAGACATCATCTTATTCAGCCCTTTGATGATTTCATAGAAGAGGCATAAAGAGATTCAAGTGCCTTGTCCAAATCCATCCCTTTATAGTCAACATCGGAGCATGTAATCTCTAGTCCCTGTGTGAGACGTTGTTAAATCTAGGCTGAGGAAATGAAGCACAGGTGTGTATGAGTTGTTGTTTTTTTTTTTTTTCCCAAGACTTATTCTTTGAGTCTTGTTTTGTCACCTGGGCTGGAGAGCAGTGGCTTGATCTTGGCTCACTGCAACCTCTGCCTCCTGGGTTCAAGCGATTCTCCTGCCTCAGCCTCCTGAGTAGCTAGGATTACAGGCACATGCCAACATGTTCGGCTAACTTTTGTATTTAGTAGAGATGGGGTTTCACTGTATTGGCCAGGCTGATCTCAAGCTCCCGACCTCAGGTGATCCACCTGTTTCAGCCTCCCAAAGTGCTGGGCTTGCCGGTGTGAGCCACCATGCTTGGCCCCAGTGCATGAGTTTTAACAGAAGTTTCTGCAGTTGGTATTCTTTTAATAATAATGCTTCTTCTAGAATAGAAATGTCACTTCAACCACAGAAATACATACGTGTTGAGTAAGCCAAAGGGCCATTATGCTACCATATGCTGAAAAAATGAGAAAGCACTTGTCTTGCAGGTACTTGCAATTATTCTTTTCTCAATCAGCCCTTCCTTCTCCCACATTTATTTTAATGTTTGTTTTAAAGATACTCTGCTGCAATTAGGGGGATGAGAACCTAGTAGAATTACACAATATAATAATGTGATGTTTTCTTCTTTTTAAATAATTTTACGGCCGGGCGCGGTGGCTCAAGCCTGTAATCCCAGCACTTTGGGAGGCCGAGACGGGCGGATCACGAGGTCAGGAGATCAAGACCATCCTGGCTAACACGGTGAAACCCTGTCTCTACTAAAAATACAAAAAACTAGCCGGGCGAGGTGGCGGGCGCCTGTAGTCCCAGCTACTCCGGAGGCTGAGGCTGGAGAATGGCGTAAACCCGGGAGGCGGAGCTTGCAGTGAGCTGAGACCCGGCCACTGCAGTCCAGCCCGGGATACAGAGCAAGACTCCGTCTCAAAAAAAAAAAAAAAAATAAATAAATAAATAAATAAATAAATAAATAAATAAATAATTTTACTACTCCCCCAACCAAGTAAATAGCTTAAGGGTAGACTGGTATGCCT